CATATCTCATTCCAGGCTACTGCAACTTCGTGAGTAAGAGCTGCTTAAGTAAGATGATGCAAAATCAACAGCCTGCGACCTATCATGTCGCAGACATGTTCAATTGGAGATAGGTCAGGTGATCGAGGTGGCCAAGGGAAACGGTTGATGCGATGCGATGTTGATCCATGAAGGCTAACTCTCAATAAGCGACTGGAAAGTTAACATTTAACTGACACCGGAAATATACGAAAACTGAAGGCTTCTTTATCATCCAACAATACACGCAGCCACCACAAAAACTTAGCAGAAAAACCTGACCACTTTATCACTTGTTGTTCATGGCAAGATAAATCGATATGTAAACAATTCTTGAATTCTAATAAACATACGTAGGTGTTTACCTTTTTTTGTCACTCAGTATACATTGTAACACTCCGCATGCTTCTAATTATCTTGAAATTGTGGTTACTCATATCGTCGCCTTTCTCACGAAGTGTCCTAACTGACAAAATAGCAAACATTGAGATAATCCGCATATAGGTGTATTATTCCATGCCGGTTAATCTGACTTAGAGGCATAACTATATATCTATTAGTATAGGTAACAAATCATTAACTCCTGGGTGTCTTATCTGTCAAGGTAAATACATAATTCCCACGAAGAGACCTAAATGAGGATAGGTCTCATAGTATGCTATAATCGTTGCTAGTATACGCACCTCGGTGGCCGAATCATGGCTAAAGTGAAGGGAGACTCTGCCCACAGTGCAATTCATACTGCGGTAAAGGGAGCTGGAGATCTTTTTGAAGTCTCACAATTCTATCCGGTTTTTCGATTGGCCAGAAGACGTCAACCTTAATTAGTAATCCCAATGAATATTTTGACATCACGGAACTTTCAAAAGATTTAAGAATGTTGTCCACAAGGCAAACTGAGAAAGGGCAAAATATTAAATGGACGGGTATTATGGACTTTATGGTAAGAAAAGACACATGCCCACTAAAATATTTTTCAAGTCTAGACACCACGATAATAGTTATGACAGTATTGAGTTAAAAAGACCGTTGAGAGATAGTAATAATATAAATGATATTAAACTACAACAACTTAATAAGGAACCAGCAAAAATAAGAAAATAGAAATACTCCGACTAAATTTCCTTATGTGAAAATCCAACACCCGTCGTACGCTTACCAGAATTCCAACACTTTTTTAGAAATTTGCCCCTAAAACGGAATGAAATAAGTATTACAACTGTTGCCTTTATTTTTTTGTGTATTATAACACATCAAAATTAGCTGGTGATATGTCAAAAGATAATGTTTAAGTTAGTTGTTTTTCTTTTAGTTTTTATTTCAATAAAAATTGCTTTGACGTTTCGAGTTGCTTTCTTCATCTTATCACCTAATATTTGTGTCATAATCTACATCAATTAAGGGCTTGGACACTCTGAGAAATGTTGTAGGAGGTAGCCAAAATTCAAAAGTCGATCTAAACTTTTTTACAAAAATTCTGCTGTCAGCAGACCAACGATTACTTAAAAAATTATCAATCAACACATTTTTGAGATAATCGCCCCTTTGGTTTTAATATGATTCTTTGCTTATAAGTAAATGAAATAAATTCTGTGAAAATTTAAGCATATCGAAATTCACAATAAAAACAACATTATCAAAATTCCCCACAACTTTTCAGACAACCCCGTTTTGATCTCTGAATATTTGGAGTATAATTCACTTGATACGCATCTGTTCAATATAATGCTGCATTGTACGTTAGATTCCCCTTATAGCTATTGACGTGCAAAACTAAAAGGAAAAACAATATCCGCCCGGAGAATCGAAGCAAAGCGAAACATAGAGCAGATGTTGCAGTGCATCCCTCCCTTGATTCCGTCCTGAAATAACCACAAAACCTTCAGGATGAAAACAGCAAGTTTTATTACATCAGCACCCAAGGCGATGTTATTAGAACTCCAAGCGCTTTTTGATTATACGATTTTTGCTAGCAGAAGGTTATCCCGGATTTTGTTCACTCATTTCAAGTTCATTAGTTGATTGTTCGCTATAAAAGGTTGTGGATGAATTAGAGATGGGTCGGTGAGAATTCCGAGAATCATTGATAATTTGAAAAGTTTTAAAGCCCTGAGCAGTGCTTGTAAGATACACTTCTCCATATACTCAAAGAAGGGTCAACTGTCATTCACTAGTTGTTCGCCTCAGCTCAATACACCCGCGGCCCTATGTCCAAAATGCAAAAACTCAGACAGTTCTGATGTGAGATCGGCACGGGTATTAAGTAAAAAAAAACTATAACAGGTCAACAAAAAAAAAAACTATAAAGTGTCATTTTTCATCTCTGAGAAGAAAGTTGGTTGAATATAGCAAGATCGCATCTGGACGATTATGTGTATTGGTCTGCATGTGTATATGATATTTGCTGTGTGTGAAAATTATTACTGAATGAGCTGCCAATGACGTATATCTATTTTCTGTGCCCGACAGGTTGTTTATATGTTCTCCTTTCTGAAGACAGGTTATGTTCAAAGTTATAAATTACGGTTTATCCCGTTTTTATTTGTTTTCAAAAATTTTGAGGAGAATTACAGAAAACCACCACCCCACCCCCATTGTGTGCAATTACTGTTAGCATGTATATGACTTGTAATTCGACAGTGAACAGTGAATATAATTATTTCTTATCTCTCTCATTTTTGAGATTCAGCAAATTTGCATATGTAATTTCCAGAATGGATAAGAAAACATGGATGCGCAACTAATTTCTAGCTTTGAATTTCAAGTAAGCGTGTTGAGACAAGAATCCAATGGAATTATAATCAACCCATATTATTAGCACACAAATTCTCACTATGCACCTGTGCGTTGCCGGTTCCTTCTAGCTATAGTATACAACTTCTCCAGTAATGTCATCTCTGAAGCAGATTTTACATCACATCAGAGCCAAACATTGATAACTGAAGCCCCATGATGCTTAGGCAACACGAACAACTACAAAACGAGTTCACAAGTCTACATCAGCTAGTGCTAAGTTTGCATCTTGTAGAAAAACCTGAATAGTCTCACAAAAATACAATACAATGTCAAAAAAAATCTACCCAATGTCACTTTTCAAGATACGTACCTAATACCCGTGTGGATAGATATCGTCCATAATCATTGAAATGACAACCTGTCAATCAGCTGAGTATTCACAAGGCTATCACCAGTGCAGTACTATCGAAAGGCTGAAGCAAACGTGTTTTATTTTTATGTCTGTGACCATGACCAACAACCCTTACCTGCCTCCGACACTAGACTTATACACTACCGATGACTGCTGAAAAGCATGATACTACTTTTCATATGATTGGTGATGGTTACAGATACAGGCATCAAACAGAATCACTCCATTTTGCCAGCAGGTCACCGTGCTGCGAGAAAGTAATTGAAAGTTTGGAGAATACTATTTTAGACGTCACTTGTCCGACTTTTGTGAATACAAGGATGTTTTTAACTTAACTATGATTAGCCCATCTCTAACAAAAATTTGGAAAAAATAGAAAATGCCTGTCGTCTGTTTATCTAATTCGAAGAGCAAAAAACGGTAATATCGAAATCGGTGAATCATTTTAGAGACTCCTGCTGATCTTGAGAAGAAATTTTGGGATACTGTAATTTGGGGCTCTTATTATTACAAAGTTTCTGATCCTGGTGATACTAAGAGTCTGTTAGACATAATAGTCTTACATACTTTCCATACATTTGCCGCAGAAGCAAATATGCTTTTTCCTTCATATGTTGAGATGTAGATGATTACATTATATCGTACTTGAGTGGACATTCTACAGTTACGAGCCCTGTGGTCAAAACCTACATGCCCAGAACAGAACCAATGTATATAGTGGGGAATATATGTACATTAAAACCTAACCTCTTCTTGATATTGGAGAGCATAGATGGAATTACACCACATAGAAATTTGTATCAGATTCTTTATTTGAAAGACCCATTTCCAGGCAAAAAATTGGCCTTGATAGGTTGAAGGTGTCAGCTGATTGCAGATTATTGGCGAAGACGTGCGACCGTACGAGAAACAAAAGACGCCAAATCGCAAAATCTTGATGGGAAGTTCCATTACTTCCGTGCTGCCTGTTTAGAATCAGACGTCATCCATATATCTGTATCATTCAATTCTAGCCAAAAAGTATTGGTTATCTATAGACCTAACACTCCCACCGTTGACCGTTTTATGTTCCATAAGATTAAGAATCAATGATGCTTTTGGTCCATCGTTCATATCCAACAAGTTTTTATTGATGGATTGCCACCTAAAGTCACAGATCTTTGCTGACTAGCAGCAATTTATCAATGTCATCGAAGCAATTGGGCTCCTTGAATCAATCATACTGTACAAAACCGTAAAGGGCAGTTGACCCATGTCACGTTCATCAAATTTTTATAATACACCTTGAAAGTAAAAAGCAATTTCGTTATTACTCAATCTATAACTTTTTTATCTCATTTAAAAATCGACTTATCCTTACTGTAAAAGCCGTTAGTATACCTTTGCAAATCAAAAACCAAAATGTTGTGCACGAATTCGGCATATAAAGACTTACGAAATATAGGACACACAATGTGGGTACGAATCCCAGTTACATCTAGAACCTTTCCAAATACCAACAGCAAATTATATGACAATAGTCCTAACAACAAATCAGTTATTTATCAACGTTATCGATTGGCCCATTTGACAGACAGAGTCCGTCCCCGACAATGGTGTAGAGCCAATTATTTATAGACGTATCGTTTACAGTGAACTGTATAAATTAGGTATATTTTGAGATGTTTAAGAAATCCGAAGCAAATAAACGGGTCTGATTTATGCAACTCAAAGGCATGAATAACTTATTAACAATCACACAAAGGAATTGAGACCGTGCATTAATTTTGTGTTGTCATACTACGTTTAAATGTGCATAATGAAACATGAGTCCGATTCACACGATGCATCTTACCTCATCTTTTGATACGAATTGGTGTTTAAAGCATTTTTTCAATATTTTGGTATACATACTATCCAAATTTAGGAATTTTCTGGATATCACAGCTGCATTTCTACTAAATGAGGGGCTTCTTAAATTTGGCGAATTTTCGCAATAGCAGGATGTTTCTGTCACAGGTGCAGACCAGCCATTTCTCTTTAACTTTTACCGTAACAGGTTGATATTCGTTACTTATTTAAGAATGCCTATGAGCATGGTCCTACCTTACAAGATTTACAATACAATTTGCAAAGATCTCAAAGTGCACAAGACAATATAAGCCAAATAAACCTTGATACTATGTTTTTATTTCTAGGGACACCTAGTACAGTTCATAGAAAAACAAATTCGGATGACGTCTCGGAAACCCGTAAGTGTGCTTTCACCCAGTAGACAATCCATGATTTAGATACAAGGTTCACCATAGACTAGCTATCCATCAAATAAATATGAACCAAATACTTAGAAATAGCAAACTAGTTTGTTGGAGAACTCATACTTATCGTTTTGGAGGTAGATAGTTCAAAGGGCCGTCCAACATTCTTATGGGAAAAGTGAAACTCTGAGATTTGATTCTCCAAGAGATACTGATCAAATGTTCTGATTGAACCAACAGCGATCCGAAGCGCCCAGAAGGCTTATGAGTTTGGTGTTTATTCCTTATACAGTAACACCGACAAATCCATGCATTTTCAACTAAGTGTATTGCTTCCGATTGGAATCAGTCAATAACATCGCAAATATGTTAAAACTAAAAAGAACATTATCATAGGTTGTCAACTTTTACTTTTATTTACAAAGTTGGAAAAGTATCGCTCATGACCGGGTACTTCTCGAAAAGCACTATTATACCAAAATGACAAGGTACAGTTTTTTTCATTTATTAAGAGTGAAGTATCTCCAACCATTGGAATGAGACATCTACCGCTTTAGAAAGCATCGGCTGGATATCAAGACCACTAAATAAGATAACTGTTTTTATTATCTTATTCCTATCTAGTATACTATACCTATTTGAACTAGGCTCGATTAATGTGTTGAACCCCTAAAGTAAAAAAGCAACCTCTTATATGGTGCATATTTTAGTTCCACCGAGCTTGGCAAAAACGAAACCGATGAATTCGTCCCTTACTTGGTTGAGCACATAGCTTCTGATTACGATAACTCACAAAAGTTTATCACAGAAAGAACCGTTTTCAGACAGCTAAGGATACAGTAAGGTATCTGATCACTCAAATCAAGAGAGAATTAAAATCTGACCAGTGGACGCGACATTTTGATCGTATCCAACCAAGGCATCATTTCGGTGGTAACCGATCCATTAAGGCAGGCAATAAAGATATAACCAGCTACGGCAAAATTATGGTGACATCTAACTTATTTCACCAGGACACAATTATTATCAGTGAATTTTGTTGACTAGCTGATTTGATGGATATTTAATGCCTTGCTGATGCTCTCAAGCATACCTACTCCTTCAATTGGTCAGATCTTGATTGACTTGATTTGAGTCGCCAGATGCCATAGATACATTTTATCGGCTCACTGGTTGAACCTTTATTGTGCCTTAAATGTTTGGAAACCGTACTTTGAAGCCGTATTTGATGAATTAAGTCATTTTAGGCAGCAGCTGTACGCTAACTGAATAAAGGACGAGTTTTTAGGTTTCGCTTCCAAATTTCACCCAATTCGGTGCTGCTAGTGGGTATTTCGATACTCATCATGGGAGTTTTTTTCCCACTTGAGAAGTCAGGGCGCATTAATCGAGTCCAGCATTCAAGCCTATTATAGCCTATTTAAAGGTACCATACTCTAGTGGAATTAAAATGTGAAAAACGTATTACATCCTGCTCGCACGTCAGTCAGATATACTAAGTGACATATAAATCCAAACACCCAGTTTAAATGGTTTTATTTTAATAAAATTTTCTATAAGTACTTAATGAAGCATAATAAGTAAATGATAAAAAATTCAAAATGATTGCACTGCTTTAAAGCCCTTTGACCTTTAATAATGTGTGGATGCACCCTCCTGTGGTATCTCATTCCAGGCAACCACCAACTCCTCTCGAAGTGCTTCTAGAGTCTGAGGAGGACGTTGCAAATTGAGCAATCTCCTACCCATCATATCCCACACGTGCTCAATTGGGGATAAGTCGGGAGATCCTGGTGGCCATGGTAACAATGTGACATCATTACGTTGAAAGAAGTCTATTGTGACTCTTGCAACATGTGGCCGGGCATTATCTTGTTGGAAAGTTGGATCTGCCAGGGTGTCAATATAGGGTAAACGATGGGGTTCTAGAACTTCGTGGATATCACGCTGCGCGTTCATGTTACCTCTGATGAAGATTAAAGGTGACCTGGAACCATAAGCTATAGCACCCCAAACCATAACTCCAACAGTGTGATGAACATGTCTTTCAACAAAAAACTGTGGATTCCTCCTTTCACCACGTCGCCTTCTAACCCTGGCACGACCATCGTGCATGCCTAAACAAAATGGAGACTCGTCCCTAAAGACAATACTGTTCCATTCCTGATCCCAGAGTGACCGTTGTCTGCACCACTCAAGGCGATTACGTCGGTGTTCTCGAGTTAAAGGGAGGACCCAGTGTGGCCGGTATGAAAACAAGCCAAAACTTCTCATTCGTCGGTAAACACTTCGCATGCCAATAGGTCTTCCGTGTTCTGCAAACCATTCATTTGCAATGGACCTGGTAGTGGAAAAACGGTCCCTTAAGGCCAATAATCTTGGGCGGCGATCTTCACGGTCTGTTGTTCTACGGCGGCGTCCAGTACCCTTTGCTCTTTGCGTACGGCCTTCTCGAAGCCATGCCTGACAACACCTAACCACAGTGTCTACACTTCTTTGCACTCTAACTGCAATTGCCCGAAAAGAAAGTTCAGCTTCCCGAAGTCCCACTATACGGCCCCTATCAAACTCACTAAGTTGACGAAATCGTACAGGTCTCCGTACTCTAGGCATCGTAACCTAACGTAAATGATGTCAAGAACCAAAATCCGCCAACGTTGATTCTTTACTGCGGCTGTATTCATTTTTAGAGCGTTAGTGAATTAAAAAAAAGCAGTATAAAAACCGGAATGTCCAACTGATGAGGCTGAAAATTTTTTCACTTGTTATTTACAGTAAGATAAATACATTCACCAACTTTTATTAAAATAAAACCATTTAAACTGGGTGTTCGGATTTATATGTCACTTAGTATACTTACCTGAAGGAATGACATAGGACTTCACACAATGAAAAATGATGATAACTCGTAATAACGCTTCTTTTGAGTCATTTGTGGTATAATTAACTCATTCAAATCATGAGCTATGCGTTTAGCTAAAAGAGGATGGTTTTCTCGATCTCACCGTCTTCAGAATAAATGATCGCGCTAATTTCAGTTCATGCAACGAGAACAATTGATCAGCATCACTTGTACAACACAACTTCAAAGATTGGAGAAAATCCTCCGAAATCACTTTCCCCATAAAAACGGTGTTCGAACATCGATTGACCACGTGCTTGCCAGGATTACCATGATAGGAGCTTTTTAAACACGCCTAAGAATTGTCAGGGTAAACGAGATATAAAACTAGTTGTGGGGATTAGAGCCCTAGTACTTCTAAATCTATTGTTATTTTGCTTTCAGATTGCTTTTCTAATATTGCACTGACTGCTCATACGCTTCATGTGATAAAATAGTACTAACCCCAACTCAAAGCTATTCCATTTATTTCCAATCGTGCTACGTTTCTTCAGCGCCTGACAGTTGATAACAAATATGCCTCACGACAGCTCATACTCGTACGACATGAACCCTTGGCAGCACAGTCCTATCACAATTCAGGGAGTTAACTGCTTATGATTTCAACGTGTGAAGCATTTGCTTTGTTTGCAGTAGATAGTAGGTAGAAATGGAATACGGAACTACTCAAGGATTAGAGGAGTTTCTTGAGCATAGTGTAGTTGACATGCCCCTTTGCTGGAGAGCTGTTCTGAAAAAACGTGGGTAAGCTATTGGTGATCTTCGAATCATGCATAGTTTTAAAAAGGACATATCATTAATATGTATGCTATACACTGCAAATGGAAGACCCACAAATTTCAGATAACTGTTATATTTAGGCGAAACTGTAATCTCGCATTATTGTTTACTTTGGCTGATTGCAGTTAGCTTGATAACATCTGAAATACATACTTAGAGTTTATACATAATATATCTCTGAAATCTGTACCATTATCATAATTATTGCGTTTGGATTACTAATATCTACTTTATAGAACTAATGGATAGGATGGCCTATATATAACTGACTGATTTGAATTGCGCGCTACTTTTGATACACGCATTTCAGTAAGTGGCATTTTAGTAGTTGCTTGAAGCACATGTGCCCAATTCGTCATGGATCCGCAACGCGTTCGTATTGTTAAAACGTTTTACTTAAGCAATGCAACGATTCGTAAAGCTACGACAAGATTCCGGTCGAAATAATGTGCTCAGTATCAACACCATTCGTTAGTTGGTGCGGAAATTTGAACAAACAGGTGAAGTTAAAGAGTTGCCAAGGTCGGGCCGTATTCGAACTGTTCTTACTCCGAAAAGTATCGAGAGAGTTCGTGAAAGTGTAGTGGAGCGCCCTGAGACGTCTACCAGACATCGTTCTTAAGAAGTGGGTATTCGTCGCACGTCATTATGCACTATTTTGAAAAAAGACTTGCATTTGCGACCAGACAAAGTTCAGTTGACCCAAGAACTACAGCCTAGTGACCATGAATGTCGCCGACAATGCAGTCAGACAACATTGCAGCTCAATAGCCAAAATAACGATTCTTACCGACTACTGAGAATGAGCTACGAAGCCCACTCCGATATGAACGGATTTGTTAATAAGCAGAATTGTCATGTGTGGGCATTAGAGAACCCTCGTGTGATCCACCAACGACCATTACATGCTTGTCGAGTCA